AGCATCCAGATGGGTACATAGAAATTAAAGACAGATCAAAGGACATTATCATCTCTGGAGGTGAGAACATCAGTAGTGTTGAGGTAGAGAATACTCTTTATCAACACCCGGCCATATTTGAGGTATCAGTGGTTGCAAGGCCACATGAGAAGTGGGGAGAAACTCCTTGTGCTTTTGTGACATTGAAGCCAGGTGTCGATAAGTCTGACGAAAAGCGTCTGGCAGAAGATATAATTAACTTCTGCCGGTCCAAGCTACCTGCTTATTGGGTTCCCAGATCAGTGGTGTTTGGACCATTGCCAAAGACAGCTACCGGAAAGATACAGAAGCACTTGCTGAGGGCCAAGGCCAAAGAGCTGGGACCTCTGAAGATGAGTAAGTTATAAAACTGTATGATGTTGGTCATTTTACAAAAACGCTAATAAAGATTGCACTATAATTAGTGCCGAGCTAGGATTATTAGACTCTTCTGTCCTTATTGGCATTAATGATGTGACTGAAACTTGTCTTATACAGACTATAAACTAGGAAATTAGATTGAGATTTCTTTCCTAGTTTGATTTGTGGTTGGCTTATCCAGTTATTAGTCGTCTATATTGACAAACTCTCAGGTTAATCCCCTTTTTTCAAATGTCTAATTCATTGAAAATAAACGGTTGTGATTGTATAAATCATGCAGTTTTAATATTTGTTAATTGGGCCGCTAATGCCGTTGTTGGATGAGGACATTGTTAAAGAAAAGCACTACCACAAAGCATTTAGAAGACGTGTGGACAGTGGAACTTCATTACTAAATGATACGATGTAAAGTTTGGCAGGTCAATTCCTTTTAAGGGCCATAATTAGGTTTCATCTTGAACATATTAAGATAACTGCTGAGTCGCTATTAAAAACACACTACAAATTAAAAATAGACAGACAACCATCTTCAAGAAACACATCATGAGTATAACAGTTAACCATCATTGATTTTAACAGAATCCAAACTCCATGCATTATTAGGAGATGTCTCAAGTTCAAATGTTCCGTTTCTCAACTCGGTCATTGATTTTAATATGATCCAAACTCCATGTATTATTAGGAGATGTCTCAAGATTCAATCATTGATTTTAACATGATACAAACTCCATGTATTATTAGAAGATGTCTCAAGTTCAAATGTTCCGTCTCTTAATTCAGTCTTATACTCAAGGGCGGAACGAAAGCTTTGAAGAAAAAAAAATTACCTACATCTATATGGCCCACCAAGTTTTTTGCCTTTTGCTTTGATCCAATCCTTCAATCAAATTGACCGAATCGTGCAATTACTTAGCAGCCTTGGTTTTGTTTTTTTTCCCTCGAAGCATGTGGCCTTTTGCTTCTTTTCTTTTCTTTTGTTGGCAAAGTCAATAATCGTTTTCCCCCCAAAATAAAAAGGGAAAGCTTCTTAATATTGTACTCAATAAAAACCCTCACGAGTCTTTCAACCTATAATTACAGACGGTAGTAGGTAATTAAAACTCACAGGTGGGAAGAGACTTTCAAAAACGGAACAGTAACCTAATTATATTCTTCTTGTGTTCACAACTAATATATATGTGAAATTTAATTATTTATATTTGTTCACTTTGCATTTGTCTTATTCGATTGATGCCAAGAAACAAGAAACTTGAATAGGTATACTTTCAATTATATTGTTGAACACATTAATTTTGATAAAGTGTATTTTTTTATTACATTTAATATGTATTTGTCTTAAAAAGTTTATTGAAAATTAGTCAATGAAAAACAAAGATCATTAGAGTTTAAGCTAAAAAATTTAGCTAGCCCGCCCATTGAAAAATTCCTAGTTCTGCCCTTGCTTTTCTAAAATTATCAATCGAATGCTTGGAGTGAAGTCCAAGAATTCCCCTGATGTACACTCACTCAAAATAATGTGGGCAAGAGCCAGAGGCTTTCATTACAACTTACCAGAGAAACAAGAGCAAACCAACCAACTTTGGGCCACTACGGCTTGGATCTTGCGGCGCGCAAGTTTACAGTTAACATACATTTATGAAGATTATAAATAAATAAAAATATTTGAAAAAGACAACAGAGATTCTCCAAACCAGTAGGCAACTGAAATTAAGAGGATAAGCAGGAGGGGGAGAAGGAAGAAGAGAGCATCTCATTCTGAGCTTCATATGGAGAGCTACTTGGCAAAGCTATCTCTTTGCGTTTGCACTGATTGACGGGATTTTTTAAGGATAAGAATGTAATGGGCAATCACTATCCACACCCATGCTACTGTTTTAGCATAAAGCTCAGCTTTGTCATCCATGATATCCATCCACGAAGGATGGTCTCATCCATGCATGAACATGAACTATTTCTTTCTACTTATTTATTTATTTTTTATTCATTGAAGGGTCTATTTTCCTTCTCATCTAGAAACTTGAAGTAGTCAAAAATCCAGAGATAGATAGGGCGGAGAAGTTGGGTTGGGTGGGTCCATGTGTTTAGATTCATGATCAAGTTAGGTTTTCTTAGGCCCTCTAATTTTTTGGCCACATCTCTAACCGATGATATTTTCTTTCTCAACTTCTCATTTATGGTCATATTCTTTGTCTCCTCCAATGGCCAATCCTTAGCCAACCAACCAATCATGCATGCAATGCAAGCCACATTATTCAAAGCCAGCGATTAGATAAGGAAAAACAAAGAGTGTAAATTAAGCTAGCAACAATTAAAGATGAAGAAAAAGAAGGAACAAGAAAAAGCCTCAGGCCCCGTTTGGTTGGTTGAGAAGAAAGCTGTTAGAAATAACCAAATTCATCCAACAAATGAAGAAGAAAAAATACATTGACTTGCATTTTATAGGTCTCATGTTTGAATTCCCGTGACATTTTAGTTGTGTACGTATGTGTGTGAGAAATCCCTCCTCCCTTGTAGTTTAGATTATCGCGTGTACTAAAAGAAAAAAAAGAGGTTAGTGTAAAAAGGGTTTTTGATGAATTCAAAGGCGTTTGCATATATAGCAAGCCAACTAGCCAATTGGCTCAAAACTGCGTCATTTCACGTGGCCTAAGAGGCTTTCAAGCTCTAAAAGAAATACATACAAAGATGAAATGTAAAACCATATTTAAAAGCTATAACCAAATTAAAGCATGGTGTGACATCAAATCAAATCCACCACCATAATGTTTCTGTTGAAATGTTGAGGTCCCACAGAATATGCATGCATCGATCGAGTTTTATCTCTGAAAAAAATTGTAATGTTCGTTTTCGTTATATATTCTCTACTGCCTGCATTGAAAGCTTATTGTTTTGTTCCTTTGTTCATTGGACATTCTTTTTTCCCCTTGGTGGGGTAGGGTTTGATGCACAACGATTTTTTTTCTTCTTTTTTAGCTAAATCATTGGCTTTATTAATTGCTTTTACGCATGCATGATGCATATGTGCAACTAATTTAATATCCTGAAACAACAAAAATATGTGGAATTAGCTGTTTATATTCGATGGATTATTGTACGAATTAATGTATTTATAATATTCTCATATCTTAATAGAAAAAAGAGGGGGAAAATTCACATACTCGGGTATCATGAGGACTTAAATCCAAGACCACTACTTGAGAGATATATCAGCGTGAATTTGGTATATCAAACAATATCTCGAACAAAGTCTATGACACTGTTGGGTGAGGATTTTAATTTTGGAAAATGAAAGATCAAAAAGAAGAAATTAATTAAGAAAAGAAAGCAATTGACAAAACTGAAGGATAAGGTTGTAACATAAAGACTGGCAATAGCGTATGAAGCTCACTCTCTTATGTATATGGGCCTATCTCTGGAGGCTAGTTCCATTTCCTTCTCCTTCATCTCACACTTGGGTCCTCACTAATAAATAATTCTCATTCCATATCCATACAGCACGCCACAGAATAATCTTCAGCTTATCTGTTAGCTTTCAATCCTAATATTATATCATATCATATACATATACATATATATATATATAATTGCAAGTACTTGATACATTGTCGATATTTTTAGTCGAAATACATAGTGATATCGACGAGATGTTTACGAGCTTGTATATAAAACGCATATACATTAATTGTAAAAATTTTGCTCTTGGTGGAGTAAGTAACTATATACTTCACATGATCAAAATAAAATAAAGATACAAGAGGACAAATGTTTTTGTTTCATCGCTGGTAGAAACTTGAAGCCACAGTCACGAGATTGACTTTCTAATGTCTCTCGTGTAGTCTGCGTACAGGTAAAAAGTCACGAGCATGAAAAACTTCTGCCTCCTCCTCCTCCTCCTCCCTTTTTGTGAAATAATTATAAACCAAAGTCAGTTTCCAATGGTGGGAGGACGACGCAGACTAAACACTGCATTATTAACACAGAAAAGCTGCCAGTCAAACAAAATATATGTCCTTTTTTTTATCATTTTATCCCCAAATATATTTGAAATTTTTCCATGTTTGTTTCTGCAAAAATTATATATATACTGAGTCAAGTAACTGACCCAAGATTTTAGTGTCCTTTCATTTGGCAATAAAATCTGGGAGAGTTATCTGATATTCTGTTGAAAAAATTGCATAACCATTCTCTCTCTCTCTCTCTCTCTCTCTCCACAATCCCTGTAAATTTTTGTTTTCTTTTTATCAAACTATGCTTCGATTTTATTTACACATTTTAAAGACCAATGTGACAGAGAATGTACCAAAAGAGAAATTAGATTCTCCAGTCCGTGATCCCAATATTTCTTAATTTTTACGACCTAGTCTGATGTATGTCCTTTATTGCCCATTTTGCTATATGGTTGGTCATGGCTCATGTACTTTTTTAACTATAGCTATAGCCCCTTAGCCTAAGTGACCATCCATTGCCAACTGCGTGTTGCACTGACACACACTCTTCCACCACTTGCTCTCTCTCTCTCTCTCTCTCTCTCTCTCTCTCTCTCTCTCTCTCTCTCTCTCTCTCTCTCTCTCTCTCTCTCTCTCTCTCTCTCTCTCTCTCTCTCTCTCTCTCTCTCTCTCTCTCATACACACTCTTTTTCTTTCTTTTTTCTGTTTTGGTTAGCTTCAAAGTTATAATCGCATCATCTACGTGGAAACTCAATCATGAAAAACCTCTCCGCTCATTTTTCCCACATCATAGCCATCCTTCTAACGCAACCTTCTTAATTCTCTCTGTATAAATACCTACGCCAAGCTTTCGCCAAAACACAAAAAACCCAATAGAGCAAAACAAAGAAAAAGAACAAAAAAACTCCCCACATTATTCCATTTTAATATGGCATACAATATTACTAGGCTTCTCTCACTTGTTTCTCTTCTTCTGTGTCTTTCTTTTTGCACCATTGGAGTTGTCCATGCTCGTCCACCCTTTGCTTGTGACCCTCACAACCCAATAACCAGAGGCCTGAAGTTCTGCAGGGTGACGGTGCCAATCCATGTTAGGGTTCAGGACTTGATCGGACGGTTGACATTGCAGGAGAAGATCAGGCTGCTGGTGAACAATGCTATTGCTGTGCCCAGGCTTGGCATTCAGGGCTACGAGTGGTGGTCTGAGGCACTTCATGGTGTATCCAATGTGGGCCCTGGAACCAAGTTTGGTGGGGCCTTCCCTGGGGCCACCAGCTTCCCTCAAGTCATCACCACCGCTGCTTCATTCAACGAGTCTCTCTGGCAGGAAATCGGACGGGTGAGGATTATTCTTGCTCCTTTATCTTTTCTGATTAGTATAAAATTTAGAATTACAAAAAGAAGAGCAGGTAATAAAGTCTTTAAATAAAAATATATATTTACCATCATTTTTGGGTTCCGTAACCAATAACTCTTTTATCTCAATCACGTGATCAAAATTGTCAATATTTTACACTATAATATTAAATTAATGGGGGTGTAGACGAATATTGGTATATTGTATACATATTATATTAGATTTGATATGTTATGTTATCACACGATATATAATTTGATTAATTCATAGTTTTAATTCACTGTGTCATAATATGATATGTCAGACTGTTGGCGAAAACAACTTCATCACGTAATTTGGATTAGTAATTATAAGTGATGACATACTAAAGATAGAAGTACAATTTGCATGGATACTTGGGTGTTAGTGGTTGCATTGGAAGTTCCGTGAGCTACCTAAATTCAACATCTCTTCATGGTTTGGATAGCAGCGGCAATGATAATGACCTTTGACTAGCTATAGCAAAGCTAGATTTTTAGTCCCTAAAACCCATGATCCCATGAACAAACAAAATAAACGACATTTTCAGTAGGTTAATTATTGTGGTTGTTGCTCTTGTTTATTAACTTCTTTTCAAGACATTATTGAAAATGGTCCACCCACCTTCTTGGTCTATACATATAGAAAGGGTATCAATCAAAATTAAACGTACATAGATGCTTCGGATTAAATAACGATAAGTATAGACCAAGAAAAATATAAGTATCGTGATCAAGAGTGCATTGATTCGTCATAGAAGAATCTTTTTTTAAATTTTTTTATAAAATATCATATTGCTTGTAAAGAAAAATCACGATCATGAGCCAAGCGACCCTAAACGATCTTGACATCCTCATGAGCTCAACTTGGCAAGTTGCAATCCCTAATTTGGTGCAAAAATTTACTTTCGGTTCTCTGTTTCCCATGTGAGCTTCTCAAATTTTTATCTGGGATTTTATACATGTACTAAAAACAGGACCACTTTCGATTTATGGCAACTACAGGAAAAAAAAAGGTCCCGGTCTCGATCACTGGGAAAAAGAAGAAGAAAGAAGGGAAATTAATTTATGATAATTGGATTAATATTATTTATTTTTAAATATTTGGTTTCTGAGCAGGTGGTGTCTGATGAGGCAAGGGCAATGTACAATGGAGGGATGGCTGGCTTGACATATTGGAGCCCAAATGTGAACATATTTCGTGACCCGAGATGGGGCAGAGGCCAAGAGACTCCTGGTGAAGACCCTGTCTTGGCTGCTAAGTATGCTGCTAGGTATGTCAAGGGGCTCCAAGGCGATGGAGCTGGCAATAGGCTTAAGGTTGCTGCATGCTGCAAACATTACACTGCCTATGATCTCGACAACTGGAACGGTGTCGATCGCTTCCATTTCAATGCCAGGGTAACATAATTTTTAGCTCTCTAGTCGGTATGTTATGTTGTTAGATTGTGTCAAAGTTTCGGAGTGATGATTTAGTGTGTGACATGTGCAGGTTAGCAAGCAGGACTTGGTGGACACATATAACGTGCCTTTCAAAGCCCTAGTCGGTCTTGTCATATATTATAAATAGTATGTTATGTTGTTAGACTGTGTCAAAATTTCGGAGTGATGATTTAGTGTGTGACATGTGCAGGTTAGCAAGCAGGACTTGGTGGACACATATAACGTGCCTTTCAAAGCCTGTGTGGTGGAAGGGAATGTTGCTAGTGTTATGTGCTCCTACAACCAGGTGAATGGGAAGCCTACTTGTGCTGACCCTGATCTCCTCAAGGGCACAATCCGCGCCCAATGGAGACTTAATGGGTGAGTCTTTTTGATTCATACAGCTATGAATATTGGCCAAACACTTTTCTCTTCGTTTCTTTCTAATTAACTTTTGGGGTCCAATAGGTATATTGTGTCGGACTGTGATTCAGTTGGTGTTCTATATGACGAGCAACATTACACCAGGACACCAGAAGAAGCAGCCGCTGACGCAATTAAAGCAGGTTATTTATTTGCCTTTTAAGGGAAACTTATTGTATCTCCGTCGTATTTATTTGGCTACGAGTCTTACTGTTATAAATTGCAGGTTTGGACTTGGACTGTGGGCCGTTCCTCGCAATCCATACTGAGATGGCCGTAAGAAGGGGACTCGTAAGCGAGCTTGAAGTTAACTGGGCCTTGGCAAACACGATGACGGTCCAGATGAGGTTGGGTATGTTCGACGGTGAACCATCGGCACAGCAATACGGAAACCTAGGCCCAAGAGACGTGTGCACCCCGGCCCACCAACAGCTAGCCCTTGAAGCTGCTAGGCAAGGCATTGTTCTACTGGAGAACCGTGGGCGTTCACTTCCTCTCTCACCCAGAAGCCACAGGACAGTAGCAGTAATTGGGCCCAATTCTGATGTTACTGTCACAATGATTGGAAATTATGCTGGTAAGTCCAGCAATTATTTAAATTTTAAACTAGTCACTCCAGCTCAATTTTCTTGACAGTGATTTAAATTTTTAAACCAATGGATATTTTTGTAATTGTCTGCAGGTGTTGCATGTGGTTACACTACACCCCTACAAGGAATTGGGAGGTACACAAGGACCATACACCAAGCTGGGTGCACAGATGTTCATTGCAATGGAAACCAACTATTTGGTGCTGCTGAGGCCGCAGCAAGACAGGCTGATGCAACTGTCTTGGTAATGGGCCTTGACCAATCAATTGAAGCCGAATTCGTAGACCGAGCCGGTCTCCTTTTGCCCGGACACCAGCAAGAGCTAGTGTCCAGAGTGGCCAGGGCCTCTAGAGGCCCAACCATCTTGGTCTTGATGTCTGGTGGCCCAATTGATGTCACGTTCGCAAAGAACGATCCACGCATTAGCGCTATTATTTGGGTTGGGTACCCTGGCCAAGCCGGAGGAACTGCCATAGCTGATGTTATATTTGGTACCACAAACCCAGGTAATAACGACAGTACAACAAACTCTGGCTCATATATTTTTACCTCTTTCAGCAAAGTGAAAACTAATGGTGTCCGACCAAATAGTCGTTGACTAATTATTATATGTTTTGTACAGGAGGAAAGCTTCCCATGACATGGTACCCCCAAAACTATGTAACCCATTTGCCAATGACAGATATGGCCATGAGGGCAGACCCAGCAAGAGGCTACCCTGGCAGGACCTACAGGTTCTACAGAGGCCCAGTTGTCTTCCCATTTGGTCTGGGTTTAAGCTACACAACTTTTGCCCACAATCTGGCACATGGCCCCACATCGGTCTCTGTGCCTCTCACCAGCCTAAAAGCCACCACAAACTCAACCATGCTCAGCAAAGCTGTGAGAGTGAGCCACGCGGACTGCAATGCACTCTCCCCGCTGGACATACACGTGGATGTTAAAAACACTGGGTCCATGGATGGGACCCACACTCTACTAGTGTTCACAACCCCACCAGATGGAAAATGGGCCGCCAGCAAGCAGCTGGTGAGCTTTCACAAGATCCATATAGCAGTCGGGTCGGAGAGACGGGTCAGGATTGCTGTTCATGTGTGCAAGCACCTCAGCGTTGTGGACCGGTTTGGGATCCGAAGAATTCCACTGGGTGAACACAAGCTTCAAATCGGTGACCTCAGCCATCAAGTCTCCCTTCAAGCCAATTTGGGAGAAATTAAGGTTTAGGGGCTATCAAAAAACCCAAAAAAAAAAAAAGATAGTGACACCCAATATTATATGGCTAGCATTTTAGTCCCTAGTCTTTCTTTTTTCAAAATTACAGAATAGGAAATAGAAAAGCAAATTTCCACTGTACAAATAAAGGAAAGACGGTCCAAGAAAGAAATATTTATTAATGAACCGTAAGGTTTTAATAAAAATAGTCATTTTGAATCATATGTTAATGGTTGCCATATGCAAGTTTAATTATAAATTTGCACGGGACTAAGGTTATTTTGCACATGAAGTCATGAGTTCGAATTCTCCGTCCCTCGATATCGTTTAAAATTAGAAGACAAAGTGTTTTTTTTTATACAAACAATTGCTTAATATATACCAACAACAATGCAGGGTAGTTGCGGTTACAATCAAAATTAGGTAAACATGATCTTTTTTTACTTCTTAAGAAATTAAAGGCAGTGGGTTGACTGTTTTAGCTTCAATTTCAAACCGTAATTCCAATGGATTGCAAAAATAAAAATAAACCGTAAACTCATGAGGGTTTTGACTTTCCCATGAGTTCATAACATCCACAAGTTCTATCAAGTTCAGATATTTTATTCCTTATTTTTTTTGGGTTTTGTGTTGGAAAAGATTCAGAGCTGCCGTCAAAAGAAAATAAGAACTGGCAGATGAGTAAAGTAATATACGGCCTTATCGGTATCTTCTGGAAATAAAGATTTCTACTCATTCTTTCTTTCTTGTGTGTGAACATTGTGCTTATTTCTTCAAGCGTAAGGATTAAAGCAATTTGAGCTTTGAGTTTAATTATTTACCATTCACATATGCCCAAATAACGTAGTTTTAGACATAAACGCAAAACTCAATAAAGATCCGATCGAACTACCGCAGTATTAATTGAATTTAAAATACAACTTATGATATCTAAAATATTGAAATTTCTTGAAGAAACTGGTGCTTATTTTTTGGGGCTATGGACTTTTGACAATGAATCATAATTTGCATTAAAACAAAAAAAAATACACAAAAACTCATAAAATACAAGAGTGGTTGTCGGTAAGTAAAGTTTGTGTGTGTGTTAGAAATTTAGAAAGGACCAACCGATGGTGATATCCCAACAAGCCCGATAGTTATCCATATCTATAATTTTTATTTTGGTTATTTTCTAAATTTTATGATGATTTTTTTAGTACACAAAATTTGCAGTCTCCTAATCTCTCCTACCCCATTTGAATTTGTCCAACTTCCATGAACTTCACCCCCAAGCCAACCACGCTATCTTGTATGACCTTATTGGAGAGATATAGTTTCTAATTTTTATCTACTTACCATATATTTTAAGTTTCTATTAGCGTTTAAAATGTCTCCAGTTCGTATCCCCCTCCTCGTCGATAAACTCTATTGGTTTGAAAAATACATCTCTAAATCAAAATTAAATACTAAGATACAACTTACAAGCATAAATACAAATACATTCTTATCTTACCCTCTCTCTCACTCAACCCCCATTCTCTCTCTCTCTCTCTCTCTCTCTCTCTCTCTCTTTTCGCAGCGCAACTTGTCCTCATTTCTGTTGCATCTCTCACTTTGCTCTTCCCCAAGGTAATGTCAAGATCCCTTTCTATCCTTCTCCAATAGTCTCTTTTCTCTTTTTGGGCTTTATATAAAGCCATTCACAAACCATATATATTATTAACCCACGCTAAACTCCTCCTGCCCCATTTTTGGTTTCTGCTATCTTTCTGCATTGTTCTTGTTAGCCCCCCCGCTCCTCTGTTTCTTTTTCTAATTTTCATGTCTTAATTGCCATTATGATGTCAAATTTTGTGTACCCTAAACCCTTTATTTTGCTAGTTCTTAATTTTGGTCCCATGATTTTGATTGGTGTGATTCATGATCTTGCAGGAGAGCTAAAGATGGCGGATTGCAACAGAGGAGAAGACTATTTCTCTGCCCAAGAACATGAGGTGCCCTGTTCTTACTACTCCCTTAATTATTCTTTTTAATTTATTGTTTTGTTAAAATATTGAGTTTTGACAAATTAAGCTCTAAAATAAAATAAAACAAATAAATTCAGAGAGAATATATATATATATATATATATATATATATATATATATATATATATGTTAACAACCATAGACTACTTCCAATTTCCATGGTGTCGGTTCAAACTTCAAATGTATAATTAAGAAGAGCTTTGATGACCATATCCGGCTGTCCTTGCTGCATGAGTCAATGGCCATACATACACTTGGCAGGCAGTTGCAAACTTTATTTTTAATTAAATTCAGTTGGTGGCAGATATTTTATTAATTATGTTTTTACTACATTTCCTTTTCTTTTCTTTAATACCCCCCAAAAAATTATCTTTCTTAGTCAAGGAAAAAATAATTAGTTCAGTTTCCTCTATTTTCCCGTTATGAAACAGGAGAATGAGTAAGGTTGAAACTCACGTTATGTCCGGCTTTTTGCTTTTTATGGTGAATTCAAATTTGAATCCTCTTTTAATATTGAAAAGATAAATCATTAGACTGAAGATAGAGATTTTTAGTCATAGTACTTGAAAAAGAAAATGATTGATGTCTAGAAGTGTCAAACGGGACAGACCGGCCTAGCACGACACAAATCCAGTCCATTTAAATGGTACACAACACGATACAAAAAGGAATATTAATGGGCCGTGCATGAATATTGTCGAGGCTATTAGAAATTCACTTACCATTTTATTTTTTGGTTAATCCCATTAAGCATAAAATTAGATGCTCTTGTGTTGTGCCAAACGCAAATACGAGGGTTGTAAGTGTGATCCCAAAATATCTACGATTTCTAATCAAACCATTTTGGGACCAAAGATGCAATTTAGATTTGGGTGTGTGTGGATGCATAGGATAGAAAAAATAAAATGGGACCCACATTTAGGATTGTTTTGACAAGCAACGGCTAGTGTTGTGACACGACAGGAGAATATGTCTATCTGCCAACGTACGTCCTTACTTTTTTCGAAATGTCGGCAGCAAGCTACGGTAGTTACAAGTATGAACATGACCGTAGACTACCACAGCTCTAGCTGCCGCTCCTGCTGACCTTTTGTGTTGACCAGCCACAGCCAAAGAGTTGGGCTGTTTCGATCGTTGATAGATTCAGGCCTGCCCCAAAGGACTGTTGATATGGTAACGGCCGAACACGGCCCATCAAACCATATTTATAATTTATGGGCCATGAATTTTTTGGTTCAAAGGCCATGAATCTTGATCCACAGGGTTTTCTACGAAACATATATTCTAAAAAGATGTTCGAGTTCACAAGGGGCTTGTAGCTCAATTGACAAACTTTTTCTTTATGATTAAGAGTATTTACGCATACACCCGAGAAAAAAATGTCCGATGACCCACAATGACAACACTCAAATATTTTATTCGGATGATTGCTCACTAATTGTGTTCTTTTGTAAGTTACCAAGTGTGTCTAGATAAATGCTCACTAATCTCTATTGACTATAGCAGTTTTCTTTTTCGTTTTAATTGCAGGCGTCAACAGTTGTCCAGAAATATGGAGGACTTGCGCCAAAGAAGAAGCCTTTAATTTCGAAGGTAAATTAATTAACATTTAAAAGTTCAGTCACTTCATGTGTTATTGCATTAAAATGTAAAGAACAAAACTCTCAATTTCTTGTGTGTTTGCATATGTGTGTGTAGGATCATGAACGTGCCTTCTTTGATTCAGCAGATTGGGCACTATGCAAGGTATTAATCCCCACAAAAATGAAAATAACTTTTCTTTTACCCTTTTGTAATTTTTTTAAACAAATTCATGGATGTGGAACAGCAAGGTGCAGGGGTGAATCCAAAATCAACAGCAGCCGTGGAGACCTTACGGCCAAAACTGCAGGTACAAAAAAATTATAACTACTAGACTATGAGCTAGTTGGTTTATAACTGCGCATCGGATCAATGTGTCGATACATTTTGAGTTTTTTCTTAAATATTTTACAATAAAGAAAGTAATTTTGATTTGCAGAGAACACCACACCAGCAGCTCCCTCCAAGGAGACCTGCTTGTACATCTGATCATGATATATAGCCCCAGTAAGTGCCGAAATGCAGTCTTCATTAGTATGTTATACTGGTTATAGTATTAATTAATCTCCTTTTAATGGTTATTAATTCTTTTTATCTTTTGGTTTATGATGTTGCAGGGAGCATACAGATTCATTGGGGGCTCAAAGTAGTTTGTTGTGTTCAGAGGATTCATGTTCATGACAAAGTTATAATATAAGCATTAGAATTGGCTGATCAGTGTAATAATTTTCAATTAGCTTTTAATAAGAATAGTGTTTCTCTCAAACATTTCCTCTGCTCTAGTTTTGTGCATCCATAACCAAAGTAAATATGAACTCATGCAGATGTTCTTGAAGGGCATTTTGTACAAACTTTTTGTTTAAGACAATATTTGCCCCCATAACTAGTTTAATCAATGTGCAAAAGATGAAGATGTATCTCTAAAATACAATGAAACATGGTTTAATCAGTTTTTGTTTTTGTTTTATCAATCGGAAATAGAGTTTTGAGTTTAGAACATCTTACAACATTGAGAAGAGAAATACCACCAGACCAATAACTAGTCGGACGTCCAATTTGATGAATTGCTATTTGGTTGTTGGATAAACGAACAATAATATTCTACAATTACAAGAAATTTATATCTTCACCCTAAAAGAAAAGAGAAAAGAAAGTGGTAGAATGAAAAGTGGATCAATTTTCCACATTTTGCCTTGTGGTTTGGTTAATCCTTATGTGCTTAACCACTAATACCATTACACTAGCAGTAACTCATTGCCAATTTGCCATATGTCTCAATACCAATATAATGCCTTTGTTTATGGAATTGCTTAGGCCGTGAATTAAACATCGAACCAATTAATCTCTCATGGAACGCAATCTTTACTTGTAGGGCAAGGTACAGAGCCAGGGAACATTTTTAGGTTTGATTTCTAACACTCCAGGAGAAAGTCCTCAGCTAGCGAAAGTTGGTGACTTGCACGCCAACCGCTCTCTCCCTTCTAGTCCTCTGCATTCCTCCAAATTATTTACCCATTATGGACACCAAACCCATCAATCGGTTTTCCTTTTCCATTTAAACTCACCAACCTTTTTCATCACATTTTCCATACATTTATGCCATGCTCAATCAGTCAAAAGTGTAAACGAGAATGA